GGAAGGGGCGGGGCCGTGGGAGGAGTCACAGCATGGAAGGGGCGGGGCTGTAGGCTAGGATGAGGCTACTCTACGGGGACCTGAAAACTACCAGAAGCTTAAGTGTGAGCTGAAAATTGTCACAAGCACCTCACCTTTTGCTGCAGAGAGAAGGTATTTCTAGAGAGGAATGTGCGGGAAGTCGGGACCTTCCCAGGGAGGCGTCATCGCAAGGGGCCGGAGAGAGGCAGTGGGGCCTTTGCACAGGCTCCTGGGCCGAAAACAAGCAGGAACAGGGACTGAAGCAAGGAGAGCAACGACCCGGCTCCAGAGGACACCTTCCTGGGAGATGAAGTCGTGGTGGGGCGGGTGGGAGTCCCATCGGCCCCGCTGCTGGTGTCCAGGCGCCATCCAGCCGTCTTCCGTGCCATGTTCTTCCATTCCTTTCAACACTGCCGCTATTTCACTCGCTGCTGCCGGGCCCAGGACGCTCTCTCCTTGAGCTGGTGAGGCTTCTGCACAGCCTGAAGCCAAGCAGCCCGTCCTGCTGACTTTTCATCCAATCATGGCCAGAGCGTGCAAACCATGCGCCACGCGGAGATCAAGCCTCCATGCACAGAGCGAGGGAAGGAAGCAGGCTTTGCTAAAAGGACCCCATCATTCTGGACTGACGCCTTCATTAAGTCCTTGTAATTCATCCTTATAGATATAAAATTATCATCCGAACGAAGCATGTTAATAAAACTGACATTTCCCTGTCAGTCAACCTAATTCACAACATAACACTTTCTGGAGCCAGTAAGGTGTGCCTGATGAACACATGCGGCTACACATTGCTGTGCACTGGAAAAGCACACTTCCAAGTCCCTGCCATCATTTATTACACTAAGAGCGGCCTCTTTGGTCTCAAGACGCATGTCACTGTGACTGTTACAGTGTCAGGACAGCAGGGGAGAGCACCCTCAGCCTGCACCACCCTCAGGGGCTCACGATGTCCCCAGAGTCCCAAGAGCATGTGAGCCTCCTGGCTTGTGACAGCTGTGTGGCAGGGCCATCTTGTGCCCGTGGAGAGAACCTTGCCTCAGAAGGATACCCAGGTGGCCCAGTTCTGGATGCAGCCCCTGCTGCCTTCCCCAGGGGTCCCCCTCCAACCATCTCAGTCCTCTTGATCATCTGTGCTGACCCCTCCCCATGTCCTGTGAGGATGCTCAGCTCTTGGAACAAAGGACCTGGGACTCTGTCTTCTGCTGCTGCAGCGCTTTTCCTTAGCTCAGCTAAAGACGGGGTCCTTGTCACATGGCCACAAAAGATTAGCCTGGCAGGCAATTTGAAGGGTGATAATAATGGGATTTATTGGACAAAACGGAAAATAAAGGAGAACAGGGACTCAGCAGAGTGAGAGTCCCCCTAGTATAGGCTTCCCGCAACGCAGATTAAATCCTGGGTTCCAGCCAGGAAGAGGAAGGGCTAGGCTCCTCCGTGCTGCAAACAGCACATTCCCAATGCACAGGCGGGCTGGAGTTTCTCTGAGGACCCCTTGCCACCTGGCTATCTCACTAAGAGTGTGTTGGATTCACTGGAGAACAGGAGTGAGAGGGCAGGGCAATGCCAGGGATGCAGAGGCACCAGGGGTCAGGTTCCCAGGGCTGCTGGGACAGGGGACCACAGACTGGGAGGCTTCACCCTTGGAAGTGGGTTCTCTCATCTCTCATGGTTCTTGAGGTCGGACATCAGAGATGAAAGCGTGGGAAGGGCTGGCTGTCTTGAGACTCTGTGGGAGGGTCTGTCCTAGGCCTCTGCAGCTCCTGGTGGTTTTTGGCAATCCCTGGGGTTGCTCGGCTTGGAGATGCATCACCTGATCTCTGTCACATGGCAGCGTTCTCCCTCTGAGTGCACGTCCACTTCTGTGTCCAGGTTTCCTCTTTGTACAAGATGTTACGTGATAACTTCTCCTGTCTCATGTTAAAACAGTAAGGAAGACTTTATTCAAGACCACTGCAATGGAGGAGGGAGACTGAGCTAAATTCCAAATGCAATGAAGACATCTGGGATTTGCAGTCCAGGGGCCCTTGGTGGATGGAAACACCGAGAGGAACGCTGGGGACCGGGACTCTCACTCTGGACTCAGCAGGGCTTCTGCTGCAACTGGGCTGCAACCGGGGGGGGTGGGCAAGGCAGACAAAAGCTTGGTCAGTGAGAAAGACCTTGTCAGGGACACACTCATGTCCTTGGGCGTTGACCGTTGACATTTGATTTGACCTTTGGCGTTGACCTTACACATTTGATACGACCTTTGACGTCGACCTTTTACATTTGATTTGTCTGTTGACATTGCCTTTTCACATTTGATTTGTCCTTTGACACTGACCTTGGACATTTCTTATTGGAGGAAGGCCTACCTCAGTGACCTCGTGTCAACTTGATGATCTGCAAAGACCTGATTTCCAGTAAGGCCACATTCTCAGATATGAGCCAAGCAGTCAGGATTTTGACATCTTTTAGGCAGATACAACTCAATTCATGAAAAACGGTGTCTTTACCTTACAGAATCCAGCTAGGAGCATTGTCAGCAGGTCAGGCTCCCTAGAAACAGAGCCTGAGAGGTCTTCTGACCTGGGGAGAGGCTGCTTTCAGGATAAACCTATAAGGGAGGGAAGTAAAGAACCTGGCGGTAGAGCAGACCTTCTTTCTACCTCAAGCCAGGATGACTCAGGCCTTGGCCTAATCTCAAAGGAGAGCCCAGAGCCCAAACTGCTCTACAGGGTGCTCCACCATTGCTGCAAGGGGACCCTTTGTACCTGGATCAGTCAGTCCCAGAGAGGGGCCAGTCTCCCCATCAGGCAGCTGCTGCAGGGGAGGGAAATTCTCCTGGGGGCTGAGGGACAGCTGAGAGACCCCAGGAGTCACAACACACTGGGGGCCAGTCTCAGGCTGGCTGAGGGGGATAGAGCAGAGCACCACTGGGCCGGGCATGGCAGGGTGGGGAGCACAGTGCAGTCCAGGCACGTGGCAGCAGAAATGAGGCTCCGGGTCCTCACTGGCACTGGCCTTGCTGCTGTACTGGGGGCTTCCGGCTCCTGTCCTCTCCAATCCCATACATCTCGCGGAAAACTAATGCCCTTTAATGAAATCAAGCAACAGTGACAAAAGCCCTAATTTTATGTCTTCTTCATTCTCCAGCTGCAGCCGCAATGCCCTTAGGACGTTTCCGTTGACCAAGTGCAATTTATCTGAACTGAAAAGGAGCCAAAAGAGGCAGCCTCTACTCTGAGCTCTGTGGGCGGAGCAAAACCTCGAGTTTCTCAGTATTTTATTTGTCTTGTGTGTCCCCATGGGATGCCATCGCTGTAGTTCAGGGGTGGTGACCAAGCTTGTTTCCCTGGTGGACAATTTGCAAGAATCTAACCCCAGGAGCAATTCCAAATTACTTTTAATGAAGGAAGGAAATACCTCTTTTGTTTCCTTCCTCCGAGGGTGAGGAGAAGAAACTTTGTTGCAAAAGAACTTTTTAAAAAATACCCTCAAGGGGTTGCATTATTTGAAATGTCACAAGATAACCTTTGTGTTGGACATTTTAAATAAAAGAATGCTCTGTGAATGGGGGGTTGATGAAGGGCAGGTGAGGAGATTCTATTAATTACTTTAAAAAATCTTTTAAAAAATTTCCCCAAACCATAAGGCAGAGTGACCCTAAGTCTTTGGAGGATAAAATCTTGGGCTAACTGAAAACAATTCCTCACATACTTGTGCTGCCTGGTTTCCATGGGAACCCAAAGAGGAACTCTGTGATGACTGGAGAACATCTATTTTTACATTAACCCTTCCGATCACAAACAAAGGAAAAATAGGGAAGGGAGGGTGAGATGGGGAGGGGCAGCTTAACCATCTTTGCTTGTGCCTTAAAGACGTCGCAAGTGCAGCTGGACTGGAGGAGAAGCCTGCCGACATCACCTGAAAACAGAAAGCGGACTGCTGTGTTTCTTCCCTCTAGAATAGTGTTCAGGGAAAGTAATTAACATGAATGTCGTTAAGTCTTCCATATGCACCATGAGGACAGCCCCAGCTCAGGGAGCAGCATTTTCAAATTCCCTCGGAATGGGAATGGGGGTTTGATCCTGGAGGTACTGAGGAACGTGTGTATGTGGGTCATGATTCTGGGTTTGCACCAGGACGCACGTCCGGCCTTATGCCACTGGGTCTGGGCTTACAGCGGCCCTGAGCCCCCTGGGGGGGGCCTGGAAGCTGTCAGTGGGTAAACAGAGTCGCTTTTTAGGAAATCATGTTCACCATCACCTACGTTGGGGCTAACCTGTTTCAGAGGCTCCTAGTAAATGTAAATTTAGGCCTGTTTTCTCTCTGAGATAGGAAAAGGCATAACTTGTGAGAAGGAACAAAGGCTTCAGCAGTGGTGGGTGGAATGTGATCTGGCTTCACTTCTGTTTTTAAACCGTCCCAGTGCTGGGGGAAAAAAACCACCACCAACAGCACAACAAGAACAGCAACCTTGGGGAGTAAATACGAGTGGGTTTTCCCAGGTCACATTTTCCCCTAAAATAACCCTATTTTTAAAATAATATGTGAATCCAACAGCAACAGGAAGCTGATGAAGCTAAATGTGAGCACCTGTTTTTCCTACACAAGAAACGAAAATAAACTCCCTGTAATGAAAATCAAGTGCAGAAAAATGATTGCCTAATTAATTGAATGCCTAACTGATTAGTTGTGCTTCGTAAATGTCTCTGATGTCTTTTCTATTGATTGACAGTGTAGGAAAAAAAAGATAGAAGGAGGCAGCCTGGCCAACCCAGCCGGCCTCAAAAGGGTCAGAGATGGAATGTCAAGGGCAGTTGGTCAAGTGCTTTACTCTGATGAACAGGTCCCCCAGCACTTTGGGGACAGGGTGGCCTCTGCTGCCAGCTCTATCCCTGCCGTTCTCTGATCCTTGGAGGTGGAAGTAGCTGCACGAGAAGCCTGCAGGGTGGGCTCAGGGTGATTTTCATATATTTATGAAATATACATGAAAATCCTCACCTTATATATATGTAATACCAGTTTCCCTACTTGTGTGTGTGTATATATATATATTCCCTATTTGTACACAGGCATACACACACACACAAACACACACACACACACACCCTGGTATTCCACTGGGAAGGGGACAACTGGGAACTTGCTATCAGGAACCCTCTCTTTGCTGTGAGCTTTCTTTCTGCTTAATAAAGTCTATTCCACTCAGTCTTCGAGCGTCTGCATGCCTAATATTTCTTGGTTGTGAGACAAGAACATGGACCTAGCTGAGCAGAGCAGTAAAAATCCTGAATTAGCAGCAGGGCTGCGTTCCTCTGGAGACACAAGAGGAAAATCTACATCCTTGCCCTTTCCATACTGCACGGTCTCCCACATCCCTAGGCTGGTAGCCCCTCCATCTTTAAAACCAGCAAGATTGGGCCAAGCCTTTTTCATGCTTCTCTCTCTCTCTGACTCTTCTGATTTCCTCCTCCACTTTTAAAGACTCTAAAGATTACATCGGGCCCACGTGGGTCATTCAGGATCCTCTCCCCAGCTCAAGGTCAGCTGAACAACCTTAATTCTAACTGCAATCTTCATTTTCCTTTGCTACGTAAGGTCACATATGCCAGGTTCCAAGAATTAGGACATAGACATCCTTGGGGGACCGTTCTTCTGCCAACCACAAATATCATCAGAGAAAATGGGATTTCCTTGAAAGAAAGTGACTATAGTGAGATGCTGTCTTGCTCATTTTTACGTTGTCTGCAGGGCCAAACGGAGGGCCTGTGTCGCAGGTGTTTTGTTAATAAACGTTTGTGGAACAGATTCATATCCTATACTCATCTATCAGAAAATGACCACCTGTTCTGTTCTCCTAATAGTGCAGAGTCATTGGAGCACAAAACAGAACTCTGTGTCTGTAACTACATTTTAGACTCCTTGGTGATAGTAACCAACCCACAGCCATGATAAGTAGCTAACAGTCAGAGAGCACCTGCTAATCTGCAAGTCGCTTTGCCAGCCTTAACCCATTGGATCTTCTTTCTCACCCAGTGGGTGGTAATTACTGTTTCCATTTAGCAGAAGGGGAAATGGAAGTCAGAAGACATTGAGTAACTCGGCCAAGATCTAATAGCCGGTAAATGTCAAGGCCATGTCTTATTGATTGACGCTGTTAGCCCGTCCACCCTGCCGCACTGCCTCACTCCGAACAAAGAGGAGACAAAATTGCAGCCAATCTTTTGTTGTGTGATAAGGACTTAAAAAGGCTAAAGGCAAGACCAGTCATTTTCGGGTGTTAGAGAAGGGTCTGTGGCAGGGCAGAGCATGAAGAAAGGGAACAATTTTGCCTGAGGGAGGGGAGAAGAGGAGCAAGAAGATGCCTCTGTCCCAGCAGAGAACCCAAGGGGTCTCTGTGCTTGAGTCCCAGTCCGCCCTGTCTAAGTGACGCATCCCAGTCCATCCAGATACTGTGTGCTCCATCTCACTGCAGCTGCTAAGACTGCTGCTCCTTTAAGACCAACTCCTCCACTTGCCAAGTCCAATAGGCATGAACTCCTGGAGGCCTTGTGCATCCTGAATTTCCAGCACATTCATGGTGATTGACACATCAGTGTTTGTGGAACGCACCTAAGCTTCGTTTTCCCTGTTTATCCCGTTTGGATCTGATTGTCTCCAAGAGGAGGAGAGTGGAAGGAAAGGACGGAGGAGGAGGGAAGAGGGAGAGAGGATCTAACAGATTCATCATGGCCTTTGGGTTCTCTTGTTGCTGTTTCTTGAAACTGATTAGAGCAACCTCTTGACTTCTAAAGAAAAACATTTGAGAATCTTTCTTCACCTCCCTGTTTTCTCTGTGGCCCAGACTTTCCTTCTTAAGATTTTCTGAAAGAATACTTACAAAAAACAGCAGGAAATAAAGCCCCAAGATATGAAAGTCAGTCTGACTTGCCCTTACCTAACCTCAGTCGGTAATGTCTGAGATGGGGATATTTCAATTATCCAAGCTTCCTCTCTCTTCCAGCTGCAGAGCCCCACTAACTGCGCAGGGAATAATACACATTCTACCATGTTGACAAGTATGGACTGAGCACTGGGCTCGGCCCAGACATTAGTGCTCAAATGCGTTGATGGTGAGGAGTAATAAAGAAATTGAAGACACGTCCCTGCCCTTAAAAAGTAATTTAGTTGTGGGGAAAAAGGTTTCCTAGTGATCCATGAAATGAGTAGAGGACAATTAAAGATTTAGTCGCCAACGTGTAATTGTAACATAAACCGCATACAGCAGAATGGTGGAAATAATTAAAAAGAACAGGATTACGATAATTCCAAAGTCATCATGAGACAGGACCAGGCAGCCAGAGTTTCCACTGATAGACTGGTTCCTTCATGCAGAATGTCAATTGCCACAGGCAGGCTGAATGTCAGGCCCAGAGGTGACCAAGCAAAGAGGTTGGATAAAGCCCCTGTCCGCATGGCGCTCATGGAAAGAGAATGGTAATAGGACTCATGAATGAAGAGTGGGGAGCGCTGAGACAGAGAACAGGGAGAACCTGCCATGGGGAAGAGAAGGGCTCCGATCTGCCTCAACCTGTACGCACACTGGTCACCTCCCGGCCCCTTTGTGATGACTCCCTAGCAATGATCATGACCTGAAATTACCTCTCCAGTTGACTTGTTTCTTGAAGCCACCACCCCCCTCACTAGAATGAAAATTAAGTAAGGTCAGAGAGCTCTTCCTGCACGTTCTCCACATTGCCTGTGCCTCCAACACAGTTTAAAACACATAACCTGAGCTCAAAATTGTTTGCTGAGTGAATGAAAGCATCACGAGGCGATTAGGGATGCATTATGTTAATCTTATCTTTAAATTATACTCGTTGTGAAATGCATTATAAATGTCAGGTCTCTTCAATCCAACAGAGGCCATAGACAGACAAACATTTCTATAATATGAATTTTTAAAGAGCTGTGAATGCGGATGATTACTGGTCACTGTAACTGCACTTTGGCTAATGGCATCTACCTTTTTTTTTTTTTTTGCTTGTTTTTGAGACAGAGTCTTGCTCTGTCACGCAGGCTAGAGTGCAGTGGCACAATCTCAGCTCACTGCAAACTCTGCCTTCCAGATTTAAGTGATCCTACAGCCTCAGCCCACCGAGTAGTGGGGATTATAAGCATGCACCACCACACCCAGCCAATTTTTCTCTTTTTAAGAGAGACAGGGTTTCACCACATTGTCCAGGATGGTCTCGAACTCCTGACCTCATGTGATCCACCCTCCCTGGCCTCCCAAAGTGCTGGGATTATGGGATTACGGGTACCTTTTTGTAAAATCAGTGCTAACACCTCAGTGCAGTCTAACGCTGCTCAATTCTTCATGGTCTCTTTATAGGATAGGACCTGTGCCACATTAAACATGAAATTAAAGCAACTGAATTTTTAGAAGGAGAAAACTTGGCCACTCCTTGCTTTGATATGAATTGTGTTGCGTGATGGGCCCTGCCATCCGCTCTGCACACCGGTAGATGCCCCGCTGTGGCTCAGTGGATTCCGTGTGGGTGCAGGATGGCAGGGGGCATTTCTCCCATTTCCTTTCTAAATCATGAGAAGAAGGCACTGAAACAAAACATCTTTTGTTGCCTGGGCTCCAAACGTACCACAGGGAATGTTTACCAAGGGGCTTTTGACACAAATATTTTTGGAGATTTTCATGCAGTTGAGGTCCCAGACCATTTGGATTTGAGTAGATGGAGCAGATTGATCTATAAAGTACATGCTTTAGATCATGCTTTATAAATTACCTGCAATATCCCAGGTTTTCTGAATTCCATCTCTGTTTCCCTGGCATGATGTGATATCCTCAACAACAGAATTGCTTCTCGGCAAGTGTTGGCTGTTAGCTGTGAAAAGTCAGTACAATTCCGAGTGTGGGGGTCAGTGGCTTTATTAAGACCAATGGCCTCATGCAGGAGGCTCAGGCAGACTTGGGCAGCTGTAGCCGGAACGGCTACATAGCATGCATCTATTGTGGAGCCACCTGTCAGCGAATTTCAGTTATTCAAGAAATGCTCTCTCTCTCTCTCTCTCTCTCTCTCTCTCACGCGCGCGCACACACACACACACACACACACACACACACACACGCATATCCACTTAGACTGAGCTGGCTCATGACAAGCCGACACAACTAACTTCATCTCCAAGTTTTTCAGTTTGTCATGTCAGGCAGCAGCTAATAAATGCACTTGAAGATGAGAATTCGTTGATCATCTTCTTCCAAATCAGTGAAGTCTGTGTCTGCCATAACTTCATTTAACATCTCATTAGGAAAGACAGCATCACCAGCCCATCAAAGAGCAGCCTCATTATCTCCCTTCATGGCTTTTGCCCCCCACACAGCTGTGCTGGGGGCCCTTTTCCATCAGGCCTCTGATGGGTCCTGCCTCCTTCGCCTGCAGGCTCCACTCCACCCCCTGGAGAAGGAGCCTGGTTGTGTATTCCTGGTGGTCCTGGGTTTAGAGGAACAGACTGTGCCCTGGGTCCTCCTTGCACCTGAAAGCTCCCTCTCTATAGCTTCAGAGGGAGAAGACTCTTAGTGCCTTAAAATACGAAAATACAGGAGATTGAAGGAACTGACTCTGCTTTGTTCATTCCTACTCAGAGACATCTCCAGGGAGCCAAGCCCTGGGGGGATGTGGGGCTGGACTGCTAGGAAACTTTACAACTGAGTGCAGACGTGGAACTGTCTCTCTTCACCAACACAGCAAAGGTCAATCGAATTTATTCTCAGGTACTTACCAATGCTCTAAACGAAAAGAAAGTGCTCCGTGGACCTGAAATAGTGGCACGTGCCAGGAGGGGCAAAGCTGCAGACGTGCAGGGCTCCAGGGGCAAGAGTCCATTGGAAGTGGCAGGGATCCGGCTCTTGAAACTGACAGGGACCCAGGAACCCCACGTGGCAGGAGACCCCAGCTAGATTCATGGATGAAACTGGGAGCAAGTGAAAGGAGGCTGTGGAGACCTGGTCCCAGGTGAAGCAGAGCAGCCACGTGGTCCAGACATGGGCTGGCTAACCATCCCATGACTGCACCTGTGCTCCCTCAGCGTCTTGACAGGCTGGAGCAGGGGCCTCCAGTATAGCGTGGTTCTGACCAGGATTCTCAGGAGCAGAAAAAAGGCACCTGCAGAACGACGGGGTTGGGTGGAGGGCAGGAGGGAGAGAGAGACTCTCTCAATCGAAGGTTCTGAACAGCATGAAAAAGATTTACACTAAAGTGTCAATTATGAGTTAAGACATTCACCAGCAATGAAAAGTAAACAACAGGAAAACCTCAAGATGTCTACAGAATACCCTAAAGGTCTCAAAGGTGTAAATTTAGAAAGAAATATATGAAAAATTGGAAAAGATTACAAATTAGATATGAATTAAAATAGGTCACTTTTTAAAGCTCAATTCAAGATGCTAGAACAGAAACATATAGTCGTTAATTTTTTTTCTTTTTTGACACAGGGTCTCTCACTCTGTCACCCAGGTTCCTGGAGTGCAGTGGTGTGATCACAGCTCACTGCAGGCTCAACCTCCCAGGCTCAGGTGATCCTCCCACCTCAGCCTCCCTAGTAACTGGGACTACAGGTGTGCACCACCACAACCAGCTAATTTTTGTATTTTTTTTGTAGAGATGGGGTTTTGCCATGTTGCCCAGGCTGGTCTCGGACTCCTGGATTCAAGTGATCCATCTGTCTCAACCTCCCAAAGTGCTGAGATTACAGGCATGAGCCACTGCACCCAGCCTGGAATTTTTTAAAATCACAAATGGATATGAACCTGGTCAGAGAAAGATTTGTGAACTGGAAGATAGTACTGTGAAGCTCATTCTAAATGCAGCACACAGAGATAAAATCCTAAGACATGAGAGAGAAGTTAAGAGATACGGAAAAGAAATTGAGGTTCCACCACACGGGAAGGAGAAAACAAGGGGAATGGCAAGCAAACGATGTTTGAAGTAATCGTGGCTAGACATTTTCTAGATCTGATGAAAAAGCAGGAGCTTTCAGCTAATAAAGCCCTTTGAGTGCTGAGCAGGATAACTCTATGTGAGTATGTATAAATATACGTGAATTATGATGAAACATCATTGCAGTGCAGAAAGGAGAAAGAAAATATTTAGAGGTACCAAAAAGAAAAGAGATATTATGACAAAAGGATGACCATGAGACTGACAACAGATGTCTCCTCAGTGACAGTAAATGCTAGAAGACAATGAATAAACAGCCTCAGAGCGTCAAGAAAACTAACTGCAAATGTCACATTCGATGTACTCTGTGGAATCGTTGTTCAAGAGTGAGGGAAGAAGAGGCCAAGATAATTTTAGAATATGAAAGGGAAGAAAACATGATTTACCATCCTCAGATGGTTGCAGAGAAAGCTACTGAAGGATATATTCCAGCAAGAAGAAAGTGAACTAAAGGGGAAGGAGTGGTCTGCTAGAACTAATACTGAGCAAAAAATAGTAATAGAAGTACTTTGGTGAATCTGGTTAACCACTAATTAGAAATTTTTATTTAAGAATATTGAATTAAAATGTAAAACAATAATTTAGGGTTGGGACACCTGGAGAAGGAGGGAAACATCAAATAACTTTAGACTTTGTTAGAAAAATAGACAGTTATGTTAAAATTTTAAATGTATTAGCTAAAATATATAGAGAGATATACTATAATAACTTGCAAATTGGAGGGAAAAAGGATATAAGAAAGCTTTATCAAAAACAAGAAGTCAAAATATAGAGAAAATAGAAGCTAGTATCAATAAAAAACAAAAATAGAGATAAATACATCAGTACTTACAATAAATGTGACAATTAATATTAGCTATCCCAGACTAATTGGATAACTTAAAACCTTCTATATGCCATTTAAAAGAGTAATGCTAAAAGCACATAAACATTTATAATAAGTTTGTGTAGAAAGATGTACTAAAACTACATATAACATAATTCATGGATTAAGAAAAATCATAATAGCAATAAGAAAATATTTAGAATTGATTGAAAGAAATGCAACTTTATGTCAGAACTCAGAAGACACAGCTAAAGCAGTTATTTAAGTAAATTTATAGCTTTTAATGAATTTTAAAATGTTATAAAATAAATGAGCTAATCATTCAATTCAGGAACCTACTGAAATAAAAGAAAGTCTATAAGAAGGAGAAGAAAATCAATAGTAGATAAGAGCAGAAATTAAGAAAACAGAAATGACAAAATATGGCTAATGGATAAAACCAAAGGTGACTTTTTGGAAACTAACCAAAAAAAATAGTCAACTGAGTGAACAGATCATGGTGAGAAAAGCAGGCACGAAGCATCACCAGGAACTTAAAAAGAGTTCATGACTACAGACGCAAAGCGAGGCTACAAATCTTAGGACTATCATGAACAATTTTTTGACAATAAATTTGAACACCTAGAAGAAATGGTTTTTAGATAAAATTTATAAAAATAATTCAGATACTAGGTTCCTGTGATTTTTCCAGGAGAGTTTCACAAAAGCTTCAAGAAACAGAAAATTATCTTCTTATACAAATTGTGCCAGAATAGGTGAAGCAAATAAAATACCTGACTTATTTTCTGATGCCAGTATAATTTGATATCAAAACTGAGCAAGGACATTGTGAAAAAAGAAAAGTGCAGACCAACCTCCCAAAGAATATAGATGCAAAAATTCTAAATAAAATATCTGAAAATCCAATCTCACAATGTAGTCACAAAAAGCACATCACAGTCAAGTGGGTTTATTTGTCCTGGGTAGTGAGAGGCAGTTGAGGTACTGCCTAGGACTCTCACTCAAATGGATCTGCCTTCGCACGGAGACAGGTGGCCAGGGTCAGAAGGGGTCTCCCACTTCCACTCTGCAGAATCCAATGAGTCAGACACGAGCAGGGCAGGAGAGAGCGCCCCTCACACCCCCCACCACACACACCAGGAATGTCAGGCTGTTCAGCAGGGGATGGTCAGGCGCCTGTTAACTGTCTCTCTAAAATAATAATTGGTCACAGCTGGTGCCAGGCAAAGGCAGTCTCCCAATAAACAGAAACACTTGAAAGTGGTGATCAGCAGCTTCCTGATAAGACCTCGGGAGCTGGGCCAGTGGGCTCAAGCATGCCCAGTAAAAGGCACAATGGCAGAGTTTAACTGATCTGTGACCTCCAAGGGACATTGTGCTGGTAAGAGAAAAATACCTCAAGTGGGCATGCGCACAACTCCAGTAACCACACCGCACATGCTCCCTCCCCAGCGCTGGCAGGCCACTGCGCATGTGCACAGCCCACCCCAAGGGAAGAGTCAGGGGAGAAGGTCAGCCAGACCCTGGAAACGTGCCCACATGTAAAACCCAGGTCAAAGGTCAAACCAAGCACCTGCTCTTTCAAGTTGCCCACTCGGCCCTCTTCCAAGTGTACTTTACTTCCTTTCATTCCTGCTCTAAAGCTTTCTAATAAACTTACATGCCTGGGCTACAGCTTGCCTCAGTTTCTCCTCCTGCCTTATGCCCCTCAGTCGAATACTTTCTTCTGAGGAGGCAAGAATTGAGGTTGCTGCAGAGCTGTGCGGACTTGCCGCCGGTAACAAAAGCAACCAAACAGAACGGAACACTGACAAACCAGAAACCTCCTGGGAAACCCAGAACGGCAGAGAAAAGACAAAAGACATCCTTTGTTTGATAAACCTAACAGAAGAGGAAGAGGAGGAGGAGGGGGAGGGAAAGAGGGGCTCAGGAGAAGGAGAAAAAGCACACACTGAATTGCATGATGAAACTTTAGTCATGAAACGATAATGACATCAGGAACTTTCTAGAATGCTGCTATCAAAGTGCCTCCCTGATACTTTTCTGCAGGTGCTGGCCAATTCAATGTAAGGAGCAGAACTGTCAGAATGTGGATTGAGAAGAAAAGACAAAATGCCATTGTGTGCAGATGAGTAGTCTACAGAGAAATTCCAAAACATTCTACTACCTATTAAAATTAGTAAGTGAATCTAGATTCAAAATCGATATACGAAAATCAAAAGTAGTTCTGTATGTTAGGAAAGGCCCATGCAAAAGTGTAATAGAAAAAAAGAAAAAAAGATTTACGCAAATCACAAAAACTGTAAGTTACCCAGGAATACCGCTAAGGAAAGACAAGCTAGAAAAGAGAGCTATAAAATATTATCGAAGGACATAAAAGAAGACTGAATAAATGAAGCGATTTACTATGTTCATAGGTAGGAGGAATAATACCATAAATAAGTCAATACTTCCCCAAATGTATCTATAATTTCAACGAAATTCAATAAAATTCACAGTCAAAAGTGCTGTCGTACTTGATACACCAATTCTCACTAAAATTCACATGGACGCGTGAAAGGAGAGCCTGAGGATGTGGGGAAGAGAGAAAGTGCTGGGTGCCCATCTCTACCATTCTGTCTGTGTTAGGTCATTCTTGCTTTGCTATAAAGAAACACTCGAAGCTGGGTAAGTTATAAAGAAAAGAAGCTTAATTGGCGCATGGTTCTGCAGCCTTTACAGGAAGCATGGTGCTGGCATCTGCTCGGCTTCTGCGGAGGCCTCAAGAAGCTTTCATCATGGCAGAAGGCGAGGGGAAGCAGGCGTCTCACGTGGCAAGAGAGAGAGCAAGAGAGTGAGGCAGGGGAAGTACCACACACTTTTAAATAGCCAGATCTTAAAGAACTCATGAAGCCATAAGGGATCCACCCCCGTGACCCAAACACCTCCCACCAGGCCCCATCTCCAACACTGGGGATTACATTTCAACATAAGATTTGGGTAGGACAAATATCCAAGCCCCATCACTGTCTATAGATAGATTGCTCTATCTGTCAAGATGTATCCATGGTAATTAAGGGCTATCATATTTGAATAGGCAGCTAGATATGCAGAACAGAATTAAAAATCCAGAAATATATATTTGCATATATATAACTTTGGCATAAGATACAGAAGATATGGTAGAGACTGCTGGATGTCCACTCTAAGAATGGGGCCACTTGGAATTTCCAAATTCTTTGCAAAAAAACAAACAAACAAACAACAACAAAAAAAAAACGTGGCTAAAGGAAGAAGCAGAAATGCTGGATGGTGGCTTAGAATACAGCTGAGACCTGTCCTTGGCCCTCCTTCCCTCTGTCCCTCCATCGCACTACCTGGAACCTCACCTTGGACCATGAAGGCTCCGGTCATGCCCTAGGGATTAAGGAGTTTGGGTTCCTGGCAGAGCCAGCAGACTACACCAGGAGAGGCTGCCCCAGACTCATACATAAGAGGGAAATACACTTCTATCTCATTTCAGCCGTTTATCCTGGAACTTGGTGTTTCTCACAGGAAATCTCGATCTTAACTACTATGGAAGGCATTACAAGTCAGTGGGACCATTCCATAAACTGTGCGGGGACAACTGTCCAGCCACATGGAAAGAAAATACGGTGAGATGCTCACATCGCATACAGAAATACGCCCTCCGTGGGCTCCAAACCCAATGTGGAAAATAAGCCTTGGAAAGAGACGGAAGAAATTATAGACCCCTTTCACCATACCACATTGGAAAGGATTTCTTAAACAAGACCTTAAAGCAGAATTCCCACGGGAAAGGTTATCACATTTGACTGCATCTAACTGTAACCTCTGTATGACTGGTGACCACAGAAAAAAGGCATCATAAATAAAAGAAACAGCTATTAGGGGAGAGGATTGGTGATGACAAAATATAGCAAAACCTTTGTTCTACTGTTAACAATGTCAAACCTAAAAGGAAAATAATAAAGTTTTTAAAAAAAGATATGGTAGTACTTTTCATAACACGTGAAGAAATTCTACAAATCATAAGAAAAAGACAACCCAACATTAAAATGGGCAAAGACTGTCAATAAACAGGCCACCGTGGAGGGGTTCCTGCAGCCACTAAATACACACGTGGCTGGGTAGCATCCCCAGGCATCCGGGAACACAAGTTAGAAAATAGTGAGATGATCATTAGATGAGACACAGATAAACTTAAAAAGCCTGCTGTGACTGAGGACAGGAAACACAGGCCTTAGGTGGGGTGGGCAGGCCAGTGCTGTCTGAGAAGGAGAAGATGAGAAGGTGGCAGCCGTGTTAAGATTTGAAAAAGAGCGTTTCGGGAAGGAGGAAGAGCAAGCGTGAAGTCCTGGGTCAGGAGAGACGGAGGGCTCCGTGGGACGCTCCTTGGAGAGTGTTCTATTAAGCAAAAGGCACAGCAGTGGGAATTGGGACCTGGGGTCTCAGCCACCTCGGGGGCTGGTGCCTCTGCAGAAAAGAGATGTGTCTGGATCTTACAAACCCGTACAGCATGGATACGTGCATGGTAATCTGCCCTCTCCACAACACAGGCTCCCCAAAGGGCACCTGAACTGTGCAGAGTGGCCCCGAGGGCTCTGTATCTTGCTCTCTGTGCTTCCCCTGAGTGTGAGGTAGACTCCAGGCCACGTGCCATTCTGTAACGATGGCCCACATTCTCCCAACTCCCCTTGGGTTTTGCCATTCTGTCTACAATGAGAAGGCAAGTCCCTTCCTGCCTTCCCGTTGTGGACAGAATGGCAGGTGCCTGATGCTCAGATAGTAGAAATGTGTCTTCTGCTGTCTGAATCTGCCCATCCTTTCCAAGCCAGCTCATGCCCTCACTGTGTCTCATCTCCAGGCTGTGCTGATCTCCAGGCAAGCTCTTTGGGCTCTGCCTGCATTCTTAGAGCACCCGTGGGGTGCTTCTTTTTTTCACAGTGTGAGTGTGCAGCACAGGGGCAAGGTCACGTAGGGGAAGAGAGGGGCAGAGTCAGAGTCCTGACAGGGCAGATCACTCTGCCTTTCCCATCTCCCTGTCTCCACCTGCAGTGGGAGGAAACAACACCCACCCTGCAGGGTGGAGTGAAACATTCAAAAGCACGTGGCACACGCTGGCCACGGTGCGGGGCTCATCGCAATCACTCCATAAACAGCCGACTTCTCTCCCTGTTGTGGATGGGTGGCCTCCTCCCGTTCTGCCAACTAGCCATGAAATGGGACAGGGTCTGTTTTAGTCTCCTTATGGGCCCACCAGTGTAGACAACAGTCCAGCAATTTAAATCCAGCCAGGAAACGTGATCAAGGTATGTAAATGCTCACTGAATGAATGAGTAAATTATACAAAGCCTCGGCTGCTGATGTTGACAGGGAAGGTAGCAGAGCCCACGTCACAAGGGTAGGCGGGGAGAACCAGCTGGTCTGCACTAGAAATAGCCTGACCCCTTGCTGACACCCGCCAGTGGCATCCCGATTCTGGCGCATTCACGCTACGCACGGTGGAATCCCTGCCACCCACGGGCCTGTGAAAGGGGAACTTTAAAGTTGCCCAGATGAAAGTGGTGTGACTGGACCACAGCCCTCGCTGGTGTCAGATGTTTTCAGGGCTTCAGCCTCGTTTTGTCCTCACAGTCCTCACATCTGTTTTGATATTCTCGGCTAGAACACCCCCAGGTGGCCTGATACGCGTCTGAAAGTCCAGCTTTCCTGATTAAGGCTGAAATATCAGTGACTGTCAAGTTTTCAACATGCCAGTGAGGCCACGTGATGCTTGCTGGACTCTAGTTCTAGGTCTTCCTTTGCTTCTCTCTGGGCCATGGGGAGTAAAACCTCACTCAACCGGATGCCTGGGTTCCAGGGGCCCTGGGGAAGTAGGATCCTAGTCAGCTGATATACCCAGGGCTGGCCGGGCACAGTAGCTCTTGCCTGTAATCCCAGCACTTTGGGAGGCTGAGGCGGGCTGATCACAAGGTCAGGGGCTCGAGACCAGCCTCACCAACGTGGTGAAATCCCATCTCTACTAAAAAAATACAAAAATTAGCTGGGTGTGGTGACACGTACCTGTAATTTCAGCTACTCTGGAGGCTGAGGCAGGAGAATTGCTTGAACCCAGGAGGCAGAGGTTGCAGTAAGCATAGATCGTGCCACACTGTACTCCAGCCTGGGCAACAAGCAAAACTCTCTTGAAAGGAAAAAAGAAAGGGGGGAAGGGAGGGAGGGAGGGACGGACCGGTGTCAAGGCGCGGCGGCTCAAGCCTATAATCCCAGCACTTTGGGAGGCCAAGGTGGGCAGATCGTTTTAACCGATGAGCTCCAGAGCAGCCTGTACAACATGGTAAAGACCTGTCTCTATAAAACAATACAAAAATTACCCAGGTGTGGCAGCCCACACCTGTAATCCCAGCTACTTGGAAGGCTGAG